ATCACTATCACTGCAGTACCAATGATTCTACTGCCTAGGCAGTAAATGTGACACTTTAGTGCTTGACAGCTGTCCAAAACTACGCCTTTAACGTCGATCGGCGAAAAATGACCTTACGCACTCTATTCAATTAGGAATACGGATAAAAATGTACGATATTTACTCGTTTACGCTATCGGGCGCAGAAAAAAAAATTATAAGCCTGTCTCTTGCGAATCCGTGACTAACTATCCGAGTCGCCTGATTATAAAAATTGGAAATTTTAATTATCTGAATATAATTACGAGCTGTTCTGCTGGCGAAACACTTTTCTCTCTGGTTGGTAGGTGCCTTGTTCGCGGAGATCTCGCTCGTTATCGGGCAAAGAAATAATCGATCACACGTGGTTGGTTTCATCTTCATTGTATAATTAAGGCACTTTCTCTAGTTAGCCTGCAATATTGCGCCTAAACCGTGAATATTCTTCGATTTTAGGACACCGGAATCGTGTTTATCTCGACTTCGAGTGAAAGAATACAACAACGAAGAGGAATAAATGAGTTTTGTAAGTCGAGCCTCTGCGTCCATTTTAAAACTAAGTTTTCTTAAAACTGTCACGAACATTATGACAAAATTATGTAAAAATCTGTCCTAAACCAAGCTCACGTATATAGTTTCTCAACAATGTTACATGAAATGAATAAATATTATAGCTAGTTGTTTTTTGTGAGCCAGAAGTGCCTATTCTAATATTTAATTACAGCATCGGGCATCAACAACGAAAGTTCTACATGACAATATACCATGACAGCAAAGTAAACAATAATTAGAGAATTCTCCTACATAATTAGGTGGGTTTGAAAAGCGACGTACCTGTCTATTTGCTTGGGACCTAGTTGCACCCGATACGAATTAAGTATACTTACATGTATACGAGTTGTCAATCACCCTGTATACAAACTATTAAGTCGATTTTAATTAAACGCCACAGTCAATATTGAACACCAAACGATCTAGTCAAAAAAATATCCGATTTCATAGCCAATTGCTGTCCCTTCAATCAAATTATCGATCTCCAAAAATTGCTTATCAAATTGTGAAACAATTAAACATTTAGTACAGAGTTTGTGTATAAATATCTCCATGTATACAAATTGCCATAGTTCCTCTAATAAACAATATATTCCGAGATCCACAGGTTCAAATTATAAAAACAAACAGCTACCGAACAAAGCAAAAACTAACGGGACGCAAATCTATTTACCTAGTTTTTAAATTAAACTGATAGCTTCACATTCTTCTATTTGTTCATAAGAAAGCCGCCTAAATTAACTTTAGACCGAATCTGAGAGATTTTTCTCAGCAACAGACCGTACGAAAATAATTTGCAAAACGTGGATGACGATTATAATTGTGCTTGTAAAAGTGAGCGTATGATAATCACGCTTTGCGTATGTACCAGGACAGATCTCCTTGTTGACATTCTTTTGTAGGTAACTGTTTTTTCACGAAGTTCATATTTAAATAAACACTATAGTACCTCAAATCGCTGCAATTCCGCTCTAATAATGCTTGGAAATAAAGTTGTATGCATTAAAATCTGTTTTGTAGATTTAAAAAATGTACGAAATTTCCTTTATTTAGAACTTTGACGCTTCTCAATAACAAATTACAAGCTAACCTCTAAAAGACTTCTCCCGTGGTCGTTTGTCTGTTTCACGAAATTTCCATGGGTTTCTACGAACAGTACAGAACAATCTCTAAGCTTCCAGGACATGATAGAAAGAAACAGAACATATTCCAGAATCATCTCATAAAATAATAAACTAAATAAGTGCATAAACAAAGCACACTAAGCCGATTTCGTTACAATATTTTTCTATCAACTGCGATACTTATTTATTTCACTTCAACTTCAGAAAAACCTCCTGAAACTTTTCTTTTTAGCGGAATTTCTAAAACGATGGTTTCACAACATAATTGGCCAAAAATATCTCAGGATTTTTATTGGCAACCTAGTAATTACTTCTCGAATATATTTGCCAATACCGCGAGTGAAAACAGATTAGGTGGGTACGTTATTTTTTTAGAAACGATGTTTAGGAATGTTTTAATAGCCCTACTCTTTAATTATCTTAAAACTAGATCGCGATTGGCCGGAGGAAAATGATAGGCAGCCTAATATTGGAAGAGTTACCGACACAGCTATTGCAATAATATTTGGACATAAACTTTTTATATATTTTGAAATACCTTTAATAAAAGTACCAAGATGTTTATCCCCGACTAGATATATTCTAGCATGTGAAATAGACGGAAATGAAAACGGATGTGACTCAGACATATTTGGAACGAAAGGGGGTGTAGAGACACTATATTTGGTACAGGTGATCCATTTTTTTCACGTTAACATCACCTGTGGTGCATACATTTCAACCTCCTATTGTTATTCTCTATTTCTATTCCACACCTTCTTGGGTGGATGAATTTAAAAAAATTCCTGACGGCTCTACACGGAATATTATTTGAATTCGTTATTGGATCGGGCTGTTTCGATACATATTTAAATTTGAATATTGGACGAAATCAAAATTAAATATGCAGTCTAGCTGTCAGCGAAACCTTTGCATAAAAAATTTATTCGTTCTTGAATGGATGTTTTACGAAACTTGTTGACCTTTTTTGGTATTCAAGTAAAAGTTGAAAAAATGTTAATATCGATTATTTTCGGATATAGGTTAAATTTTAATGTTAGTGAATGTTGGAATATTTACCATTATTTGCAAAATATAATTGTACATTATTATTACAGGACAAATAACTAGTTATTGAGAATATTCCTTTTTGAATTCATTTTATTATACAGGTAGTTAGATACTGCCACGGGATATATTTTGAGTTAATAGTTTACGCAAAGAAAATGCAAACGGTTAATTTATTCAATTACAGTTTTTTCCTTGAAATTATAAATGTCAAAGAAACTACACTAAAAACAGTTATAAAATAGGACGTAATTTAGTAAAAAGTACGATTTTTATACATAAAATGATTTATTTTTTTTTAAAATGAACTTGAATGATTTTCAAAAAATCTCAGAAGTCCACATATTTCTTGTAATTCATATTCTAAGAGTTTATTTCAAAATGAGCTCGAAAAGTGAAGACAAGCATTTACCAGGGGAAGTATTGGAAGCGGCACAAGGTACTATTTCACAATTAATCCCCAAAAAATCATCGAGACAGTACGAGATTGTCTACAACGAATTCAAAGGGTGGTGTAGTTCGAAGAAAATTCAAAAAGTGTCCGAAGTGGTATTACTGGGATATATGGAACATAAAATTAATAAAATTATACCTTCGATGTTATGGTGAGTATATTCCATGTCAAAAAGTACACGGAATGCGAAAAAAATGTAAATATTAAAAAATTTCGAAAATTGCTGCCATATTTGAAAAGCAAATCAGTTGGATACCGTTCGAAAATGTCAAGAATTTTAACCAAAGAGGAAATTGAGAGATTTTTACAAGAAGCACCTAATAATAGATTTTTGCTAGAAAAGGTACTTAATTCAAATTAATATAAATCTGAAACCGGTAACTCCGTTGTTTTCAACAAATCTTGACGATTTTTTTTTAACTTGAAGCTCTTTTCGTAAGCTTTCCGAATATGTAATAATATATAACTATATCACGCTTGTGCGTCGTATATTTCATTTTGCAAGTAAGGCTAGAAAAAAATAAAAAATTTCCAGGTTGCAAATTTGAAATTAAAAAAAAATGATAGAATTAAACGTATTATTATGAAATCTACCTTGAAAAAAATCAGTGCGATTGTGGAAGATCCTCGGGATCGTCCAGACTAACAATTAGTTAATTTGTTTATAAGGCCATAACTTGTAAACTATTTAACTTACCGATTCCAGATTTCGTGTGAGTTATTAGACAGTGATAATGAATGAGAGGATGCGATGCCAAAACGTTCTGGTAATAATAATACAGTTTATAAACGTTTAATTCAAAAGTCATAAATAAACTTCAGTTTATTACTTTTGATCTAATCATTATTTTTTGACGCTCGAGGGTTAGTTTTGTAGGTCTTTTGAAAACGAAAAAAAAAAAGTATGTTGCTGTTTTCTCGTGGAAATGAACGGAAAAAAGTTATAAGCGAGAAACGTGAATTTATGTAAAAATTATACAATTAACCACCTTGTAAAAAATCTTCCCCCATTTTTATGACTGTGGAAACTATTTAATATGTTATTGTACATAATATTTAGCACTTATAGTGATAAATTCAGCTTGCCGAAACAAAAAGTCGCGCCCAACTCTATATTTCCTGGGATGTGTATTTTTAATTTGTCTGATTTTGTATAAAAAAAAACTAAAATTATGCCACAAATAACTTCTGTCGTCTTTGACCACTTCAAAATTAGTAAATTATAAATTTTCCGGAAACTATACAGCACAAGACAAGTTAAATATTCTGCAATTTCTTGGCACCTCCCTGTACGATACAATAAAATTTTAAGTTTCTTTTTGGACGCGTGAATACAGTTAGAGAAAAGTATAGTTTACTTTGAAACGCCATTAGATACCAAATCGCACCGAAACAGTAGTTATAACTGAAATCAAAGCGTTTCCGTTGTTCAATAAAAATTATTACCACCGCACAACCAACATAAACATAACTTTTATTAACCACTACCTCGAACACCATCTTTACTCTAATTGCCCCTTATGGTTGTACGACTTAAAAATCATAATTAAAAATTATAATCTGAATCTCATTAGCGACTTCACCCAAGTAGGTCAGAATTATTCCGCGGATTAACGGGACCACTAAAATAATTAATACACAACAAACAGTCGCCGAAATTTATCTAAAACACTGCCGGATTTCTGTCAAGAGTAACTCGTACAATTTTTTTCAGTGGAAACAGTAACTTTAAAGGACCGTTATCGCGCCGAAGTAAAAGGACCGTTCTGGGTCCTTCAGAAGGGCCAAATAGTGCGAGGGCTTACCTGCTGGTAGATTGGTAAGTCCGAGGAGGATAAGGGCGGGTAGCCACAAGGGCCGCGAGCCCCTACACTGACACACAGACATCGCGCGCGGTACCAAACCAACAGTTCTTTGCACCTGTCGAGTTCACCGGTAACACTGACCGCGGAAGAACGAGTTGAAGACTGCCGTTGGAAACCAGGACGGCCGACTTCTTTACGCCGATGGATCTTCGCGGTGGCTCCTCGCGCCGACCACGGAGAAGGTGGGACGGACGCCGCGTAAAGGAATAGGTGCCCAGAGATCAGGGTTCCAGAAGAATCCTTTTTTCTTCGAAGACGTTTTAGACATGGTCTTTTTCATGCAGTTACCATTGAATACACAGAAACTTATGCGAACTCGAGACTCCTACGTAAAACATATTATTTCTGCTTTAAAAGGCAAAATGTCGAAAATAAAATTGGGTTTTATTTTTAATAAACAAAAACGAAGCAATCTACGTAAGTATAGTACAGTCATTGAGGCTTTTCACTTCCGAATTCTTTGAAACTGAACCGATCGACTTGAAATTTGGCAGATAGTTAGAGAAAAGGTCAATGAACATTAGTCACATAGCGCCGATTGACACTCCCACCCCTTCTCGGGGGTGGAATATTTTTTTTCAGAAATAACGCTAGAGAATAAAATTTTGAGCAAAAAATATTCGAAGAATTTTTTCGAGAAATCAATAGTTTTTTAGTTATTCACCATTGAAAACTTGGAATTTTGAGAAAAAAAAAACACTTTTTCAAAGTATTTTTCGCGAATAACTCAAAAACTACGCATTTTATTAAAAAAAGTGTAATGAACAAAAATGTAGCTTATAAATAAACAAAGAAAATCGTTTTTTAAAAAGTGTTGTACGTCCTATACAAAGCGAAATATGGTTAGTGGAAGGGGACTTGTTTTGGGGGGAATACTCGAATCGATGTATTCAACGTCAAATAACGGAAAAAGGATTAATTTTACGTGTATAACGCTCCTGGAGTTTTTTGTAGTACTCAAAAAGACCTTCAAAATGAGCACTTATAAAAGTTAATTAGAGCAAAATTGAAGGAGTTATCGTCAAAAACAGATGGGTTGCTCATATTTTTTAAGGAAAAATGAGCAGTAAACGCTGTACCATTTCCATCAGAATTAAAATTAATCGTAGACCCTTTACAATTAGTTTTGTTTTAGTGTTTTTCATACGATCCTGAAGTTAGACCGGTTTAGAATGCGTATTTTTTTAATAATGTACGGTAAAAGTTGAAAACGTATTTTTCATTATTCAAAAAAAATTGCCTTATTTATATAATAACTCTGAAACTATGAAAGATACGTAAAAAATGATAGACAACAAAAATGTAGCTTTTTTTCAACAAATATTTTGCTTTTTTTATTCCTATAGCATAAAAAATAAAGGAGATATCGCCGCTTGAAGTATCCATTTTAGTGAAAAAACGACCTGTCTCGAGCCCTTCGATCCTTTCCCTTTAAAAAACGAAGGACTTAAAAGGTTTTATATGCAAACGATCTTACAGCTCTTGAAATTATCTTTAAAATGCTTTTTTGTAGGATACTATAGCTTCAAAATTAACCGAGTTATGGTAAAAAAACCAATGACATTTTTTCGGAGCAAAATAGGTTTTCTCATTTTTATATATTATCGTATTATATTATACAAATAGAATATAAGTAAAAAAAAATTAGTGTGATTATTTATATGAAGCGTAGCAATTTTTTTTATGATTTATTATATTTAAAAATCGATTATAATAAAAATATTTAACATTAATATTGGTAAAAAGGTATAGTTTATAAGTTGAAAATGGTAAAAGTAATATATTCTTTCATAAACAATATAAGGGAACTTTTATTTTAAATTATTGCACAATTATAACATTCCAAGATTTAAAACGTAATTTTTTATAATTTTTTTAGCACAGGGGTGATTATAAGGGTTGAAAAGTATTATGAGATACAAATTGTTTCATAAGCAATGAGGGAATTTTTATTTTAAATAATTGCACCGTTAAAGCATTCCAAGCTTTTAAAAAGTAATTTTTATCATTTTTGTCAATACAGGGGTGGTTTTTAAGGGTTGGTAGGGAAAAATTCTTTTATTAGCTATAAGGTAACTTTTATTTTAAATAATTGCACGCTTTAATCACGCCAAATCTTTAAAAAGTAATTTTTTATCATTATTTTTTGCATAAGGGTAGTTTTTAAGGGTTAAATAAAGGGTCGAAAAGATCAAATATATCATAAAACATCTTCGAGAATATGGAACATTATTTAATCTTTGTGCTTGAACAAGATTTTTATCAATAAAATGCTTAAAACTTAATTTTTTTAATTTTTTTCACTTATTCTAAGTTTTCATGCAAATCCATGCAGTTTCAAAGAATTCGGAGGTTACAGCTGATTTTCAGCTTCAATGACTGTACTAGTAGGATGGAGATTTCTTATACATTTTTTATGTCTCAATGAATAAAAATATGTATCTATCTATCTAGATGAGTTCAGTTAAATCTGCTTAATTGATCTCAGGTGACTGTGGATGCTACATCGAGTACATGTAGTACTGGGACACCCCGTACATAACATAAACCCGAATACAACATAAAATTAGTAGCATAATCTTGATTTTAAATTCTGATCAAGTTCATAGATAAATTTTACAGTTATAGGTAAAACGTTTGTTATATTAAATTATTCCGGAAAAATTATGTGGCACGTGCAGATTTTCGTTAAGCTTTGCACGTAGGCAATGACTATTTTTTACGATGGACAAGACAAGAGGCCTCTATAGATATTCCGAAACGAGTTTTCATATGACTTCCAGAATGGTCTCGTAGAAGAAACCGTAGTTTCTGGAAAGCTCCAACAATATAAACAGCTTTCACAGAACCGGTAGATTATTTAATCAAATTTTATGTAAACATAAATTAAGAGCACAGCAAGGATTTGTAGGTATCTTTATCACAAAATAAATAAGCCTTAAGACGAAGCTTCCTTCCTACTAAACACCAGCATTGTTCTCATGCAGCATTGTAATTGGTTTTGAATCGTGGTAGCGGTTCAATAATCGAATTGTGTAACTGACCTTTGCCGCAAAGCAAAATTCTAGTTAAATCTTAAAAATTAGATACGACAAACCTCTAGTTAACCTTAGAATTTTGCAACCGAAAACAAAAACAAGCTGCTGGTATTTGGGTACGTTCTCTGTTCCCATGAACTTGTCCTAAAATTCGTTACCATGTTGGTTTTGCGAATATCAAAACACACAGCTGGCATTATATGTAGACCAGTGCTTAAGCCTTCAAAAATGGTAAAAAGTGAAAAAAAATTATAGTAGAATGAAACCCATTGGAAAAGGAAGAGGATATAACAGAAATGAAAGGAAAAATAATTTACGGGCGATCTGAGGTCGGGAAGGGGAGGGGGGTGAGTTTTTAAGGGTAAAAAACGGTTTATCTTGATTTCCGCAAAAACTACAAGTCTTATGGAAAAAAGTTAAATAGCAAAGTTGTAGATAATAAAAAGATCTACAACTTTTGTATTTACACTTTTTTCACATAACCTCAAAATTTATGTGAAAAATTCAAATAACCAAGTTTTTGGTTTTTTATTTTTATCTTTTAAAAAAAAATTTTTTTTTCACGAAATTTGGTGAAAACTTACCTATTTATGTCCCAAACACGCTGTAATTTTTTTGATTTGAAATATTTATTTTTTCACCTTATTTTTACTTAATATCGAAAAAGCACCCTAATTTTCAATCGAAAATTCTCACGTCAAAATATCTGCTTTTTTAAAAACGTCGGTGGGCTTTTTCTTCGTTGAAATCTCTACTTTCTGATGGTGTAAAAAAAATATACATTACTATGGTAAGTTTTCTCAGGAAATGCAAAGAAACGAAAGAAGATTCTACAACTTTCTCAAAATATTGTAGATGTCTTATTAAATATTAACTTTATTAACTTATTTGGTTGTTAATTATAATAGTATATTTCGACTTGTAATTTTTTTGTTTATCAATGTAACATGGAATCTTACGTTTTTCGAGTAATTAAAGTGTAAATTTTAATAAATAGCTCAAAATTGTACATAATGATTAGAAAAAAATTTTCGGATTCTAGTTCGTTTCTTTGCATTTCCTGAGAAAACTTACCATAGTAATGTATATATTTTTTTACACCATCAGAAAGTAGAGATTTCAACGAAGAAAAAGCCCACCGACGTTTTTAAAAAAGCAGATATTTTGACGTGAGAATTTTCGATTGAAAATTAGGGTGCTTTTTCGATATTAAGTAAAAATAAGGTGAAAAAATAAATATTTCAAATAAAAAAAAATTACAGCGTGTTTGGGACATAAATAGGTGTTTTCACCAAATTTCGTGAAAAAAAAATTTGTTTGTAAAAGAAAAATAAAAAACCAAAAACTTGGTTATTTGAATTTTTCACATAAATTTTGAAGTTATGTGAAAAAAGTGTGAATACAAAAGTTGTAGATCTTTTTATTACCTACAACTTTGCCATTTAACTTTTTTCCATAAGACTTGTAGTTTTTCCGGAAATCAAGGGAAACCGTTTTTTACCCTTAAAAACTCACCCCTTCCCGACCTCAAATCGCCCGTAAATTATTTTTCCTTTCATTTCTGTTATATTCTGTTTCTTTTCCAATGGGTTTCATCCTACTATAATTTTTTTTGGTTTCAAAAATTATCAACACTGGTCTATTATAATAGTGAAAATAAAGAATGACCGCAAAAAAACTGTGATTTTCGCCCGTTTTTTCACAATTCGCAGATAATTTAAAAAAATACATAAAAATATGTTTTTGGTCGCAAATTACTTGTCGTAAAAAACTGAAATGAGCGTAGCTTTTAGTATTTTGAAAATTTTAAAAATCACCCCTACTTAGGGGTTAAAAAAATTGCCAAAAATGAAGAATTTGAATATTACCAATGGATATAAAAACTATTAGCATGTGAATGATCTTAATATATTTTTTTTTGGAATTTTTACAATTATTTCTGATATTCTCTATTTTTGGGGATGATTCCACCCCCAGAGCGCGC